ACGCCCTACCAGTACGTGCTGGGGAAGTCGCCCGGCACTCCGACTTCGCTGATCGAGGCGATGGAGGGCGACCAGAGGCAGCTGGCGGCACAGAGCGCGGCACTCTTCGAGGACGGGCCCCGGCGGGCCGAACAGATTCGCGCAGCGGCGAATCGGGCGTTCTTCGAGCTGGACAGCGACGACGCCGTGAGGAGGGCCACGATCGGGCGAGTCCGACCGCCACGAGGGCCATTTGTGCCGGGCCAGCTGGTGTTCTACTGGCGCGAGGTGAAGCACGTGAAGTCCAAGAGGCTCCAGGGCGAGCTGGGATGGCGTGGCCCAGCCATTGTGCTGGCGACGGAGGGGCACACGAGACTGCACCTGAGTTACCGAGGGGTGCCGGTGCTCGTGACGCCCGAGCAGGTGCGGCATGCATCGCGCGACGAGGCGGAGATGGTGGAGAACGAGGACCTGGTCAGGCAGCTCTCGCAGTGGCGTGGAGGACCTACTCTTCAGAAGGGATTTATTGACGAACGTGGTCCTGGGCCTGAAGGAAGCCAACAGACAGGCACACGACGCGAGAGGAGCAACGACGACTCGGACGACGAGGACGTTGGAGACGACCCGCCAATGACGAAGGTACCTCGCACCGAGCCGGTCCCACCAGCTCCGAGACCGCCACCAGTGGAGGCGACTCCCAAAAGGGAACGAGTGATAGAGGAAGCACCTGGAGCTCAACCTGGAGGGCTACCAGAAGTACCACCACTACCCGGCGACGGGCCGGGACTCCAAGTACACGGACCAGCATGCGACCCACCTGCACCTGATGCAGCTGGGCAGGGGCACTCTACGGACCTGGACGCAGCTGCTGTGCCAGGTAATCCGCATCATGAACCTGAGCGAGCCGAACAGCCAGGACAGCCAGAACCCGCACCACCGAAGGGATTCAAGAGGCCACTTCCTGATGACCGGCTGCAAGACAAGGAACGTCTTCGACTACGACGCGAAGCTCTCAAGGAGGCTGCTATGCGTTTGCCACGGATTCCTGACGATCCCAGCGACCTACCAATGGGGGACGACAGCGCACTCTACGTCAAGGTGAGCCGCGCGGTGGAGAACCGCACGAGGGATGCATTCCTGGCAAGGAGGACCGATACAGCCAAGAAGCAGGTTGCACCTAAGAAAGGTCGAGAACTACGCAGCATCCCGGCAGAGTGGAAGGAAGCATTCGACGCAAGCGACCTGGACGAGTGGCGCAAGTGGATCCAGTACGACGCCGTGGAGTGGCCGACGGAGAAGGAGCTCGCAGGGGTCGAGAAGACGGACGTCCTGCCGATGCGGCGCGTCCGGACGGACAAGAACGAGCCGACGAGGGGCAGCCTCTCGTACGAGCAGCACCCGCTGAAGGCGAAGTCGAGGAACATCGTCCCCGGGTACAAGGACAAGCAGCTGCTCGCCGGCGAGTTGCAGACGAACGCGCCCACGCTCGCGGACACGGCCACGGCGGTGATTCTCCAGGAGGCGGCCAGCCAGGAGGGCTGGACTCTGGAGCAGGGCGACGTCGACTCGGCGTTCCTGAATGGGAAGTACCTCGACAGCTCACGACGTGTTTATTTTCGAGCTCCCAAGGGCGGTCTACCGGCAGTCCCGGAGATGGGCTGGCCGTTCGTGCCCGAGGGAACCATCCTGAAAGCGAAGGAGGGGATCTACGGGCTGAACGACGCACCTTTACTGTGGTACGAGGAGCACCGCGACACCATCCTGTCACTGCCCGGGGCTTCGAGATCCAAGCTGTGCCCGGCTCTCTTCATCTTCCACGACGAGAACGGGAAGCTGATCGGCCTCATCGGGACTCACGTGGATGACGACTTGGTCGCGGGTTCGCCCGAGTTCTTCGCGAATCAGGTGGCAACGCTGAGGAAGATACACTGCTACGGCAAGTGGCAGTCTGCGCGGACAGGGTTTCACCACTGCGGGCGCTTCCTCAAGCAGAACGACGACGGCACAATCAAGTGCAGCCAGAGGGAGTACACGGAGAGCATCGGGAAGATTCCTATTTCGGCCGAGCGCCGGAGGAACAAGGAAGCGAAGGCCACGGCTGAGGAGAGAGCGTTGCTCCACAGCGGCAACGGCCAGATCCAGTGGCTGGTGCGCTCTGCGCGTATGGACTTGGCGTTCCGTCTGGTGGAGAGTCAGACGAGGGCTCACGACAGCGACCTGGAGGTGCAGGACTTGCTCGACTTCAACAAGCTGGTGAGCGACGCCAAGACAGACCATGTGGACATCACTTTCCAGAAGATCAACATGGACGATGCGATCGTGGTGGCCATCGGGGACTCAAGTCGCGGCAACGTGGGCAAGACGAAGACGGCGAGCCAGGCCGGACTGGTCATCCTGCTAGCAGACAACAAGGACAACAAGTTCTTGCGCGGGATGCCTACCAAGATCACCCCTATGCTGTGGCGCTCACACCGCATTAAACGTGTGGTGCGCAGTACCCTTTCGGCCGAGACGATGGCAGCTTTGGAGGCGGTCGAGAGTGGCGACATGCTGAGGCAGCACCTGGTGGAGCTACACTACGGACTGGGTTACCGGACCCACATGGAGGACGTCAAGGCGATTACCATGGTGGAGGTCACGGATTGCAAGTCTCTCTACGACCTGCTGCAGAAGCGCGGCACGGTTCCCTCCGAGAAACGGCTGCTCATCGACATCGAGGCGCTCAGGAACGACATCGAGTTTAACAACGTGGTGAGCAAGTGGGTGAACACCAAGCAGATGCTCGCCGACTGCCTCACCAAGCACGACGTGCGCGCTGGCGACTACATGAGGTACGTGCTGCAGACGGGCGAGTACCGGCTGACCGAGGACCTCATGGCGGACCAGGTTATCCATAAGCAACGGACGGAGCTCAAGGGACGCAGGGGGGAGTACTACCGCACGAAGTACCCCAAGCGACAGCGACCTGCCGATCAACCTTTCGTGCGCGAGGGCTACGCGTACTTCGAGGACTGCATCGCAGACGTGAGGTACAATGCGAAGGTCGTCCAACCTGCTCCGAAGCCATACCTACGTTGGCGGATGACGCTGGGCCAGCGCGAGAACGATATCTACTACGAGAAGCTCGAGGAGATGGTCGACTGGTCCGGCCTGGACCAGGTGGTGAAGCGTCGGACGATCCCGACGCACGTGCGTAAGTTGTTGACGATCTACGCATCGACCAAGGGAGCCCTCGAGCGCTACGAGAAGGACTTTGCAGAGAAGCACACCATCAAGAAGCCAGATGCGACTGAGGATCCAGAGGACAAGGAGGAGTTGAATGTCACATCGGAGATGGAGATGCATGTGGAGTCAGACGTGAATGCCAAGCTGGATTGCACCGACGACACGAAGGAGATCTACATGATGGACGCGACGGGGGCCGACGCTGAGGAGATCAGGGCAAGCCCACAGGGAGGTGCAGCTGCGGCGTGGACTACCATGGTAGTGTGTACTGTGTGTCGCATGACGGTGGACCAGTGCGAGTGCGGGCCGAGGACACGGAAGAAGCCACACAAGGACAAGGCCGAAGACAAGAAGGTCCCCAGCGACATAGACGACGGCAGCTGGCAAGAAGTCCCGAGTGTACGCGCCACATCGGCGACGCCGCCGACGCCATCTAAGAAGCTTATGCAGAAGGCATACCGCCTACACGAGAAGACCGGACACGCTCCCTACGAGAAGATCGAGAGTGACTTCGGAGACGTGCTGGAGGACGGAGTTCTAGAGGCGTATCGTATGGTGATCGACGAATGTGCAGTGTGTCGGAAGGCAACCCAGGAAGCTGGCAAAACCAAGTACATCAAGAAGTCAAGTCCGACGAACACGAAGTACAGGATGAAGGACCAAAGCAAGTATATCGACCCCGACCTGTGCGAGCACCCGACGGACAAGCGAACGAGAGCAGGGACCAACCAGTATAAGGAGAAGATCAAGTGCACTGAGTGCGGGACCCTACTCGTGGACCGCGACACGCCATGGTGGAGCGAGGAGAAAGTGCTTCGGGCGCAGGCCAAGGCGGCGAAGGCACAGATGGAGAGACAGGCGTATGTGCGGGGAGATACGGGCTCGAGTTCTTCCAAGAAGTAGTTTGTGTTTGCTTATCTACATATTTCATGAAGTTGGATTTCGTAGACGACACTATGGATTTTTTCATATACGACGGCTTCGCCGATTACCTTGACTTCATAGAGTACTGAGTTTTGCGAGTTTGCCCGGCGCTCGAACGAGAGGCAAGCTTAGCTAGAGAAAATAGTATGAATGTGATTTCTGGGGGAAAGACCCAGGGCATGTATCTAGCACGCTTGTGTACATGTGTGTATCAAGCGCCGGCGCTTGGGCTCGAGAGAAAGGCGCTTCCCTTCTCCCACTGCAGAAGCGACGGGTCGAGGGAGCGATAGCGGCTTGGAGCTATTCGATCGAGTTCTCTTTCGAGATTCCCGCCGACGGTATCGACACGCTCGAGCGGGAGAGTTTCGACCAGAAACGAGGGTCATCGTAAGTGTCTGTTTGTCCGCATCCATCTCGGGCGTCGTCGGCGGCGTCGGTGGCGGCGTCGTCGGCGTTGTCGGCGTCGGCGGCGGTGTCGGCGGCGTCGTCGTCGGCGTCGGCGGCGGCTGCGGCGGGCGGCGGAGGCCCTTGGCGCCGAGCTGCGGCGGGGGCGCGACGTGTTGCGGGACGCGGCATTGCCCCTCTCCGCCTGGCAGTTTTTTGTTATTGTTTTTTTTTTTTTTTGTTTTGTTTGTTTTTGTCTTGAATTGTTTTCCTGTGTTTATGTTTGTCTCTTTTTGTTTTGTTTTGTTTTGTGTTATTCTCATTGTTTGTTTTCAGCAATTTTCACCAAGTCAATGCCACACAATCATATGAAAACTGCTCTGCCTGCTGTGGTCTAGACGGGCTGCTTCACGGAATACCTCTTGCAGGGCCCCCTTTGCAGTGGCAGCGTCGACCTGGACAGTTTTGGAAGTATCGTTGACCCACAGGTGACCTACCTGCTCTCCTGGGCGGGCCCGGAGCAGGAGCCCGCCGCCGTGGACGTGCGCCCGATCCCCGGGCAGGCGCTCTCCGGCCCGGCCTCTGCCGCGGGGAGGGGGCAATGCTGAATGATCGCGGAGGCCCAGGTCGGGAAAAAGTCTCGACGGAGGGCGCTTCGTTGTTTTCAGCCTCTGGGGGCTCGGAACGGGCCTCGGGAGCACGATTCAGGACGAAAAACCAGCGCTGGGGGGACTCGGAATGCTCGGGGCCGTCCAAGAGGGGGGTGATGGTTATAGGGGGTGTCGATTTCATGGCCGGGGCCACGATATCCGCCCACGCTTCTTGGCCCCTCCTCTTGTTTCAGTGCGTCCCCTGGCCCCCCTGGGCCGCGCACGTGCCTCGGGCCAGGACTTGCGACCCCCCCCTCTTGGACGCCACTCTTTTGGACGCCCCCGACGAGTGATTCGAGGGGGGAAGTGCGAGGGGGGCAGGCCTTCTCAGAGGGCAGCGGGACTTCTTGAGGAGCCCCTCCGCCCTTCTGAGAAGCCGCCTCTGACTTCGGAGAAGGCTCAGGAAACTTCTCGGAGGGCGCGAGGGCGTCTGAGAAGCCCGGCCACCTTCTGAGACGGCCTGGCAAACCTGCTGCGTTGGTGCCCCGCCTTGAGGGTATCACCGACTGCTTGGTGTGACGCAACGAGGGTGACGGAGCAGGCAGTCTCGCGAAGTTGACGAGGCCCCACCAGCGAAGACACATAAGCGATATTTTGCAGCCCAAAGCGCGCTAGCTTTCAATATCTTGGACGAGTGGAGCAGCATATTGCTACGGTGGAAGACGCGCGTGCAAGGCTGGAGGTAGAGTTGGATACAATATTGTTTCTAGATTGTGGCTCCCCACGTATTGCAGTAACTGGGATGCGACTGCTTGTCTCAACCAAAAGCTGGGGGGAAGAGTCTTGCACCCCGCTCGCCAAGATGCAGTTCCTTTCGCTCCAAGGGGCGCGTGCTCATTCGAGAACTTGGACGTCGTGGGTGCGGCGTGCAGCAGCGCCTGTCATGCCAAGCAGCTGGGACTTCTTGCAACAGCTCACCGCAGACTTCTGGCCTCTACTCAGCAATGTATACAATGAGCAGTTCCGAGCTTATAGCTTCGAGCTCACATCTTACGGGGTTCCACTTAGGGGAACCATTGCCTATAATTTCCAATCGCACTTATAGTTCGAAGACCGCAGCTGCCCAGCGTGACTATTTTGTTGGCAATGCGTGTGGTTGCGCGCAGCATGGCCGTGGTGATCTGTATGCAATACGTAGTGTGCGCAAGTGTGGGCTGCGTAAGCAAGACCAGTGGGCTCGTGCGGTTGGCACAAATGTCGAGGACGCCTACGGCGAGTCACCGCGGCCTTTTGCTTTTCTGGAAATGTCGATGTGGCCACGCAATGCGCCAAACCTTGGCCAAGCTGTTGGAATAGGTGTTCCCCCGACTGTTGTGGAAACCGTTGGGGGAACATTCTGGGGAGGAGGAGAGACAGGAGGAGGGGAGAGATGATCAGCTATAGGATCATGCTGCTGCTGATGATGATTATGGTGGTGATGGTGATGGTGGCGACGATGACGATGACGATGCCGAGTACTATGATGACGACGACGATGCTGCTGCTGATGATGTCTATGATGATGATGATGATGATGCTGATGGTGATGACGACGACGATCACGATGACGATGACGATGACGATGACGATGACGATGATGATGATGATGATGATGATGATGATGATGATGATGATGATGATGATGATGATGTGTCGATGGTGATGGTGGTGTTTGTGGTGGTGATGATGACGAAAATCAGGAGGCGCAGGATGAGGAAGAGGAGGAGCAACAGGAACATGCTTCTGACGATGATGACGACGACGGTGATGATGATGATGCTGATGCTAATTCTGATGATGGTGATGATTGGTGGTGATGACGATGTTGATGATGATGGTTGTGATGATGATGGTGCTGCTGACGATGATGACAATGATGAGGATGATGAGGAAGAGGACGAGGATGATGATGATGATGGTGATGATGACGGTGCTGACGATTTAATGATGATTGTGGCGATGATGATGATGATGATGATGATGATGATGATGATGATGATGATGATGATGATGATGATGATGATGATGATGATGTTGCTGACGATGATGACGATGATGCGACGCGGATGATGATGAGGAGGAGGAGGAGTAGGATGAAGATGGTGATGATGATGCTGATGATGATCATGATGCCGATGCCGCTGATGAGGACGATGATGATGGTGATGATGGTGATGCCGATCTGATGGTGCTGTTGCCGAGGACTATGATGATGAGGAGGAAGAGGAGCAGGAGGAGGATGACGGTGATGTTGATGATGATGATGCTGTTGATGATGATGACGCTGATGAAGCTGATGATGATGATGCTGCCCGTGATGATGGTGATGATACTTGTGATATTGTTGTTGATGATGATGATGATGGCGATGCTGTTGCTGATGATAATGTTGATGCGGATGACGATTATGGTGATGATAGTGGTGATGATGATGATGCTGATGACAATTGCGACGACGACGATGAGGATGATGGTGATGATGAGGATGAGCATGCTGATGATGATCATGATGTCGATGCGGCTGATGAGGACGATGATGATTGTGATGATGGTGATGATGGTGATGTCGATCTGATGGTGCTGATGCCGAGGACTATGATGTTGAGGATGATGCTGATGATGATGCTGATGATGCTGATGATGATGCGTCTGATGATGACGATGCTGTTGCTGCTGCTGATGATGATGATGCTGATGACAATGACGATGACGACGACGATGCTGATGATGATGCTTATGAGGATGAGGATGATCATGAGGATGATGCTGATGCTGATGCTGATGCTGGTGCTGCTGTTGATGATGATGGTGGTGGTGGTGGTGGTGAGGCTGCTGCTGCTGCTGATGATGATGACGATGATGCTGCTGCTGCGGCTGATGCTGTTGATGATGACTATTATGATGATGATGATGATGATGATGATGATGATGATGATGATGCTGATAATGATGATGACGATGATGCTGATGATGATGCTGATGATGCTGCTGCTGATGATGATGCTGCTGATGATGATGACAGTGTTGCGGCTGCTGCTGCTAATGATGCTCATGACGATGACGATGACGATGATGATGACGATGACGATGCTGATGACGATGACGATGACAATGAGGACGATGATGATGATGATGATGATGATGATGATGATGATGGGGACGATGATGAGGATGATGCTGATGCTGATGATGGTGATGCTGCTGCTGACGACGATCACGATGCTTCTGCTGCTGATGATGATGATGATGATGGTGATGGTGGTGGTGATGATGATGATGATGCCGATGAGACTGATGACGATGATGATGATGATGATGATGATGATGATGATGATGATGATGAGGATGAGGATGATGATGATGAGGGTGAGGGTGATGATGATGATGATGATGATGGTGGTGGTGGTGGTGGTGGTGGTGAGGCTGCTGCTGCTGCTGATGATGATGCTGCTGCTGCTGATGTCGTTGTTGCTGTTTATGACGGTGATGCTGATGCTCAGCTGACGCTGATGCTGCTGCTGATGATGATGATGATGATGATGATGAGGAGGAGGAGGAGGAGGAGAAGGGCAGAAGGCCTTATGGGGGCCTCTTGGGGCCTCTTGTGTGCCTCTTGTGTACGGGAGCCTCTACGGGCTCTTGGCTTTCAGAGGCCGTCTTGGGGGCCTCTTTGGGTCATCTTTGAGCTGTCGTTTGGCGCTTTAGGACCCTCTTGTAGGTCTGCGGGGTCGTCGTGGAGCTCCCTTGGGGGCCTCACAGACCGTTTTTCGGCCATGGCCCGTCTTTGGGTCTTGGGATGCATGTTAGGGTTTTTCGGATGCCTCTCGGAATCCTCTCGGAGGCGGTTTTCTGCTTCTTGGGGGCCTCTTTTGGGCCTCTCGGGTGCCTCTTGGGGCCTCTTGAGGAGTCTTGGGGGTTTCTTGGGGGCCGCCTTTGGGGCCTCTTAGGGACCTGCCTGTGATTTCGGGGTCATCTTGGGGCGGGTATCGAAATTCTCCACGCTTCGCGTATCTTAACCAGCGTTCTACGTCGGCCCGTGTTCTTCCGAGACGGCTCGCTCAAGGCGCCTCGCCCTCTCTCGGCTTCTACATTCCTTTTGCCCGCGGCGTGCGCGGGCCGGGACTCACCGGACGCTGGCCTCGGCCATGTCTGGGCCCATCCTTTGGAGTCGGCAACATGCAGTGGCTCCCACGTCGTCGCCCTGGTGACGGCGGCCTCTGACCCCCCCTTGCACATGGGCGTGGTGACAGTACGGTCAGCCTTGTCGGCATTTGCAGATAAGGACGTCGGTCAGGCACCTTTCTGGCGCTCGTGTGAGGCGTCGGCTGCAGTCACAGGAGTGCCTTCGAGATGCGCAAGCCGCACACCGCCTTGGTACCAGGGCCTTCGCGGACGCTTCAATTGTGGTCGACCTTTACCAGGCTTTGGCCCGCACTCCCCTCAGATGCGTGCAGGCTGGCCGACGGTCCAAGTGAGTGAGTGGTCTTGGCCCCTTCCGCCTGGCAGTCCGGCTCCACCAGCGGGTCCGGCCTTTTTTGCTCCCCCCTTCCCTCCCTGGCACACGTTCGGCGGCCGGTTAGTGGCTTCATCGCTGGCAGATGTTCAGCGTTACTTTTGCTGCTGGCACACGCTCAGCTGCTTCGTGGCCGGCTCAGTGCTGCGTCGTTCATTATCTGCTTCCCGTGCGCTGTGTCCCAGCCTCGTTCTTACCGCCCTCTGGTCTTTTCCTTGCGGACCGCGAATCAAAAAAGTATCTTAACCAGTTTTTGCTTGTTGCCCCGAGCTTGTTTCGACCCGTTCTCTGGAATCGTCCTTGGAGCCGCTGATCGAAAAAGTATCCTAACCAGTCCATTCACCAGAAACATTGTTCATGAGAGGTGATGGGAAATAGGAGGAAGAGACATACAGTGGAACGGAGCGGACAACGGCGTGGCCTTGGAGGGCCTCTTCGGGCCATCTCTGACGCTGTAACTTTTCAGACGAATGTGGCGGCGCCGAGGCGATGACCGCGAAAACGGCCTATTTCCATCCTGGGAGCTGCTGCAATCCTTGGACACGAACGTGCGCGGCGCTAAGGCGAGAACCACATCCTGAAAACGACCTGTGCTCCATCTATGAAGCAGGTGCAATCTTTTTTGACGAATGTGCGCGGCGCTGGGGCGAGAACCATATTTTTGAAAAGGAACCGCCTTCCATCCTGCCAGCTGTTGCAGAATTTTAGGTCGAATGCGCGCGGCGCTCAGCGCTAAGGCGGGGGCCTCATGGCCCCCTTTCCATCCTTTTAGCTGCCGCGAACTTCGAAGACTCATGTGCGCGGCTCTCAGGCGAGCTCTAATTTTGAAAACGGCCCCTTCCATCCTTGAAGCTGCTGCAAACTTTTGAAGGCAACTGTGCGCGGCGCTAAGGCGAGCGCTACTTTTTGAAAACCACTAGTGCCCCGTCCTTGAATCTGCTTCAGTTGGCAAGCGAAGGTTTCATGCGAAACGCCCAGCCCGCCCTGCCTGCATGGCGGGGGGTCGCGACGGCGAGGAGCTGTTTCTAAGGACAGGGACTGAGGATGAGGATGAGGAGGCGGAAGAGACGGAGGAGGCGGGCTGAGACGGTGGAGGTGGCGATGATGCCACGAAGGATTGAGGCCTGTTACCTCCGCCCTACCTTCTTTTATGGCCCTGCGGCGCACCGCCGCAGGGAGGAATACCCCTCCCGCATCCTCCAGGGGCAGGCTCGTTTCTTGCCGGCGCGGCAGCGACCCTTGGCGCGGGCGTTCCAGAGGGGAACGCCGGCGGTGGGCCAGGATCGGCCAATGTGGAGCGATCTGGCGATCATTGACACGGCGCCGATCGCTGAGGCTGAACGATGCACGCGGTGTCGGAAACCAATGCTGGGGTCGTCGCGACATGACCCTGCTGTACCATTGGTGGTGCTACTCTGGTCCCAGCCGCTTTTTCTCGAGGCGACGCGTTTCGGACGCTGGGTCCTCTTCTTGGCCACGTGGGGCGGCGGCACTGCGGCTGTGTTCTCGCGCGCGCCCGCGAGGCAATTTAGGTCAGGTCTGCGGGGGGTGAAGAAAAACACCCAGGCAGCTGAATGTCAGTTGCCGCGTGGGCACTGCAGCCCCCCAGTCAGGGAGGCTGGGCGGCCAGGTGATTCCCCTTCGGGTGGGCACATCTGTACGGATCCACCCTGTCTTTCCCCCCCCTCCCATGGAACGGGGAAATGATCAGAGGAGGGGTTAGGGAGGAGCAAGCAGGTGGGCCTGTGCAGACGTCAGGCTTTTGCCTCCTCCCCCTCGTCGTCGTCGTCGTCCTCCTCCTCCTCCTCCTCCTCCTCCTCCTCCTCCTCCTCCTCCTCCTCCTCGATAGCATGGATGCGCCACGCGCGGGCGTCCTCGCAAAACCGCCCTGTGCCCATGACAATGGGGTCGTGGCCGAGGGCTCTGGACCGCGGGGCCGTGGATCGGCGGCGAGCGAGGGGGGGACGCGAGGAGAAGGCCTTCTCGGAAGGCTCGGGAGGTTCCCTAAGCCCTCCCCGAAGCTACAGGGGACTTCCCCAGGAAGGCGCGAGGGCCTCTGGAGAAGACCCCGCCACCTTCTGAGAAGGCCTTCACCTTCTCACCTCCCCCCCAGGCTCGCCGCCGAGTGGAGGTGGACACCTTCCCCGCCCGCGATCTCGACCCGACCGAGGCCTGCCCCCCCCCCCCCCCCCCCCCCACCGCGCGACCTCGAACCGACCGAGGCCGTCCTGCCTCGCAATCCGAGGCGACCTGCGGCCAAAGGCGCGCGACGCCCTGGACCACGGCGCCCTTCGAGGCGACCCGAGAGGCTGCCCCGACCCACACGTCCGACCATCTGTTCTCTTCGGGTCCGCGGCCCCAGAATCGAAGGGGGAAAACTGGCATGAACACAAACTTTCGACGGTTTGCGCGGACCTCCAACAGTTTCTGTTTCCATGTCCTCTTTTGTTCCTCTATCATCCGCGGTTCCAGAGGTCCCCACTCCTCCCCCGTGGTCCAGTTCTTCGCTCCGGATCTCAGCTCTTGCTGGTCCCGGGGCCCGGTCACGGGCCGAGGGGAAACGGCGTGACCGAGAGAGAGCGGGCGACCCGGCCGAGGCGACCCGCGGCCTCCACCTGCACACATTTGGGGTTGGACAGACCTCCTAGCAGTGACACGTCGATTAGGGAATTGTCCGTTTTCGGTTCTCGAGAGGGCGCAGCGGCCGTTATTTTCCAGGCTTGCGCCCGCGGTTTGGGCCCGAGGTCGTTTTCACTAAACCACGTTTTACTGAAGGGAGGTCTGTCCATCCCCGGTACACTGCCTCCCCCCCCATGTTGACCGCGAGGCCCGCGGTGCCTCCCCCCCCCCCCGCAAGGTCGGGCTCAGCTGCGGGGGCGACAGCCAGGCGGGCCGCCGACCCGCCAACGAGGACCGCACGGTGGCCGTGGACCTGCAGGAGCGGCGGCGGGCTGCGCGTCGGGAGGGGGAAAACATACGGGCATGAAGCATCGTCGCTTCCCCAGAGGATGTGCAGCAGATGTGGGGCGTGGAGGGGCAGACGAGCACCCAGGAAATTCGGAACATGCGGGAGCTCTTGGGATCTGTGGATCCTTATCTGCGCGTCCCCGGGCGCCTGCAGTGGTCCGAGGCTCGGAGCTTCGAGGCTCGAGCGTCGAGGTTTTCGGGCGGTCGTCCGCGGGGCTCCCCGTCGCCCTGGCAGGCTCCGCCTCGACGTTCCCCGTGCCCGCCGCGGACGACGTCGACGACGTTTTCTCTTTTGGTGGTTGTTTTTGCCAGTTTCAATTATCATTATTATTCTTACTATTATTCTTATTATATTATTATTATTATTCTTATTATTCTTATTTTTCTTATTCTTATTATTCTTATCATTATTGTATGTGTTTGTTACACGAGTTCTGTGGAGTACAGAGAGCCCTAGCAGACGATGCAGCGCACATCATTGGCAAAAGGGATAATCCGATTCCCGCCGCGGCGCGCCGGAGGACCCACATTGGTGAAGAAGTGGTTGCGTTCAAGGGCACGGATCCACGGAGACAAGACTACCAATTGCTGTCTTCCTTCCGAATTGAATGCGCATACACACCAGGAGAGGGCTGTCTCGCTATGTGCCACAACAGCATCGCGGTGCAGACACCACCGATCGGCATCCAGAGTGCGCCGTCCCTCTGATTATTGCCACTGACGTCTCCAGGACCAATTCACGAGCTCAAAGAGCTGCGTGGACATCGTATGCGGACGTGATAAATCGTGACGGCCAGGGGTTGGGAACCGGCCAGTCAGCATGGGACTGGGTCCAGGCCAATGAGGGGGCACCAAAATGCAGTTCAGAAGGGGCGAAGACAGGGTCCGACACAACCTGAACGGAACCGACCACGAGATCGTCCACCCGTTGATCGCAGCGATGAGCAGCCACAGCAGAGGCTCCGGCGAACGGAGCCATCTAGGTGGGAGGCCTCGCAGCACGATGAGCACGCGCAGCCGAGACTCGCGGCCTTCATCAAGCACCTCCAACGCAACACCAACACGGAGCGAGGCACACCAGATTGGAGGTCCCCTGGGAGAAGTGGGCGGGAGCACATCACCGATCGAGCAGATATGCTACGGCAGTCAAAGATGCCTCTCTGTCCAAAACAGAGCAGCTACGTGTTTTTATTTCGGCCACCCAGTTGCAGGCGGAGTGCGCGTAATACAATTCCACGGGCATGGTTCAAGTGGCTACCCCTCGGCAACGAAGGGATCAAAACGACAGGGACAGAATTCTGTACCGTGCTAATCAGAGCCAGCCCAGTCGGGACCGCTGCTGGTAGCCTATTTCAGACTCAAACCCTGTGCGGTACTGGACCTACGCGCGCCCACCCAGCGCCCACCCATGGCCCCTCCAATTCTGAAAGCATCAGATGAGGCCATGCGCCATCGCTGGCTAATGCGACCGTCCGTTCTTTGTGGCGCCGAAGCGTTTGAGGGCTGCCTGGGTGGGCGGGCAGGCGGATTACTCCTTGACAGCACCGATGAACCATAGGAACTGTGGACTTGTGGCGCTGCTGATCTGTCCCCTCCGAGCAACGGGCCGCTGACCAACTCTCCGGCACGGGGAGACGATCCTAATGGGGGAGCACGGGGGCGACATTGTGCTACGGTTGGGAGCGTGGGCTCCCTCTGAAGCCTCGGCTGGGCTCACGCCTGTTCTGGGGAGGGTCGCGTTCTGATGGTTTCAACCTGCCCGCGCCCATCCGCTCTGGCTGAGGAGCGGGCCGTCGGCGGCATGCCCCGCCTTGACGTCGCTGCTTCTGCTCGTTCTCCCGCCCCTGCTCCCCTGCTCGTTCTTTTCCTTGGATGCGCTAGTCTTGCTCGGTAATCTCGTTGGCAATACTCGTTGTGCACCGCCCATCTGGCAGCGCCGCCTTCGGCGGCCCCTCGCCGTCGGTTCGACCCCGCTGACGGCTCTCCAGCTGTATTGGCTCAGCTGCCAGGGCTTCGGCGCGGTCGGCCGACTGTTCTCTTTTCAGTCATGCCGTCGGCGCGACCGCGCGTCTCCTCGCGCTGCCCGCTTCTCCGCCCCCCCCTTTTTGGCCGCTGTCCCAGCGGTGGCGCCCGCGGCCCAGCTAGCTTGTGCATTACCCATGCGGCTTAGCCGCCGTCCGTGTTTTCTGTTGGGGCCCCCGCGGTCGCCTGGGGCGGTTCGGCACCCTCTGCGACTTTGCCGCCTCGGGCGTCGTCGCGCGTCTCTGTCTGCGCACCGTCTGGCGCCGCCGCCGTGTCCTGGCCCCCCCGCCGAGCCGCGAGGCTGCCGTGGATCGGCGACGGCAGCGGGGCCACCTCGCCCCCCCGCCGCAGGGGGCCATGGCCCCCGTCTTCTTTTTGGGCCCTGGCCAGCCGCGCTGCGGGGAGCCCGGGGGCACGGGGTTGGCGCTCGTGGGGCGCGGGGGTGCTGCGCTCCTCGTGGGCTCTTTCGTTGGGGGCTGCGGTTGCTGCTGGTGCGGCACTCCTTGCTGGCGTTTGGCTGGCCGAGCATCCTGGCGGGTAGTCGCTGTGTGTGCGGCGTGCGTGGATGCGTCGCCCATGGCTGCCTTGTCGTGCTAGCGCGGCCGCGCGGCTCCCTGCGCCTTTTGTTCTCGCTTCCTCCTCCTCCTCCTCCTCCTCCTCCTCCTCCTCCTCCTCCTCCTCCTTCCTCTTCCTCTTCCTCCTCCTCCTCCTCCTCCTCCTCCTCCTCCTCCTCCTCCTCCCCCTCCTCCCCCTCCTCCTCCTCCTCCTCTTCCTCCTCTTCCTCCTCTTCCTCCTCCTCCTCCTCTTTTGGTTGCGACGGCGGTTGTCTGGCTGGGTGGCCCACTCGCCGCGTCCGGGTGCCCGTGCAGCGGCGCGGTCTTCTGACCATGCCCACTCAGTCTTGCGGAGTTCGGATGTGACAGATCCTCCAGCTGCTAGCGTGGCGCGCGCCCTCATTGGGAGGAGGAGGAGGAGGAGGAGGAGGAGGAGGAGGAGGAGGAGGAGGAGGAGACTCTCGCGCTACAGGTCTCGGTGGTTGCAGTCTTCGGCACGGTTGGTGCCGCGGCCTGGGCGCGCTGCAGTTGGCGCGGCCACGCGGTGGCTCTCGCCCATCCCCGCTCCCCTGCGTCGCCGGCCCGTAGTTCTCCACCGCGCCCATCGGCGCAGGTCGCTCGGTAGCTCTGACACACTACCGATACGGTAGGGGTCTTGAGGAAGAAACCCTTTTCGTTGGGGAGGGGCTCCGCGTTCCTTACGTGTTTCGCAGTTTGCCTCAGGTTTTCCTTATGTTTTCGATGGGGAATCGAAGTTTAACTTATGGAAAATAGGGGCCTAGTTCCTTATTTAGGGTTCCTTAGGTCAAGGCCCCGACGGTATGCTTTACAGTTGTTTTTTACACTTCGCTGTCTAACACCAGTGTTGTGATTCAGTGGCTGCAGTTAGCCGTTGGCCCTCGCGCTTCAGTTGATCCTGAGTTGAGTCATCTCTTCGTTTCCTGGCCGCGGCAAGTTTCGCTTGTACTTACAGTTCCTCCGTCACACCATATGTTGCATGTTGCATGCTGTGGTGATGCTGCTTGTGCGCCGCGCTATCGACAACGTTCGGTCGCAACTCACACCTCCATCTGCTGCTCGCGCTTGCGGAACTTCTGTGCCGCCGACTCAAGTGTTTGTTTGTGTGTGTGTGTGTGTATGTGCGTTTAAGTCGTTCCCGCCCGCGTTTCTTTTCCATCTCCCGTTCTCTTTCGTTCTCTCGTTCTCTCTCTCTCTCTCTTTCTTTTTATCAGTCTCTATCATATTCTCTGTGACTCTCTCTTCTTGTTGTTGTTGTTGTTGTTGTTGTTGTTGTTGTTGTTGTTGTTGTTGTTGTTGTTGTTGTTGTTGTTGTTGTTGTTGTTGTTGTTGTTGTTGTTGTTGTCTCTCTCTATGTATTTCTTTCTCTTTATCCTTTTCTGTCGCTCCCTCTTTTTTTGTTTTTTCTCTCTCTCTCTCTTGTCCTCCGCCCTACCGAAGCGTCGGTGAAATCAGGGTCTGTCCAACATCGCGGTGGCCGCCTCGCGTGGCTAGTTTGCGCCGCGTTGTCGCGGCGGCGGCGGCCCAGGCGCGAGCGCGCAAGGTTGAGTGTCCAGTCTCACCTCTCTTCCGGGCAGTCTCAGGACTGTCGTGCCTTCGCGGAGCGTCGGCCGTCGTTCCTGGTATTGCTTCCTCCTTCTAGCCCCCCTTGTGCTCCTGATTTCTTCTACTTTTGCCTGTCTTTGGACCTTCTCGTCTTCCTTACCCTCGTACTGTTCTTCTTTTTGCTCCTCCTCCGTCTCCTCGTTTCTACTTCTTGTCAACTTCCCCTTTCTTCTCCGTATCCTCCTGCTCCTCGTTCTTAATCCATTCATTCTCTTTATACATAATTCTTCCTTGCTGCACCGTGAGGCTCGTGGGTAGGGCGGGCCGGGCGTTCCGCATCAGATTCCCCACCGTTTACGGATTCACGGATGGCGGGCGGCCCGTTTTCCATCTGGGACTCCCACCTCAGCGCCGCGCACGTTCGTAGGAAGAAGTTGCGGGAGCTTCGCGCATGGGGGGCGGGCCGTTCTCAAGATGTGGCTCTCGTTTTAAACGCCGCGCGCATTCGTCCGAACAGTTTGCCGCATTTTTTGTTGGGGAAAAAAAACATGTGGCTCTCGCTCCAGCGCCGCGTGCAGTCGTCCTACAAGTATGCAGCAGTCTCACGGATGGGGGGCCGTACCTCTTCAATCCGAGGTCCTCGCCACAGCGCCGGGCGCACTCGTTCCACGAGTGTAAGGAAGGTTCCAGGATTCTTATGGTTGATGTCCCCCAAATCGTGTCTAGGTACGATGTATGACTGTCAGGGCGCAATCGTTGGTTGACTCGCGGTGTTGATGTCCCAGGAATGGCGTTCTTTCGTTATCCAGGATCGTCAGGACGCAGCATGCACGATGATTCGCGGCGTTGAAGTTCCAGGAATGGTGAGCTGGCGTGGTTCAAGAGTTTCAGACGGTTGTCTTTTAACGGGGCCCCTCGATGACAATGACATTTTGTAGGGACCTGTGCAGAGGGAACTTGGAGGGACATGTTCTGTCTCCTTTTTGCAACATCGTTGATGAGTCTTGGGTTTGCCGTGGTCCTCCTCCTCCTTCTATTCCTTCCCCCCTCTTCCTCCTCCTGCCGCTCCCCATCTTGCCTCCTCTCCTCCCTGTTCCAATCACTCCCCTCTCTTCTTCTCCCCCCCCTGCCCGCCAATCGCTGACGCGCACGCCGTGCTGGCGCTCGGGTCTCCAGACGCCTCCACGAGGGACTCTGGGCCACCAGGGGGTTCTGCCCAGCCTGCGCCTCCGCGAGCCGCGACGGAGCACGCAGCCCACTCGCTCGCTCCGCCGCTTCCCTCCCCCCGAGACCTCGCAGCACTCTGGGTGGGACAATCTCAGGAGGGGAAAAACACACAGACACAATGAATCGTCGATCCCCAAGAAAATATGGGAAATGATGGGAATTGGGCGGGAAGGCAAAAACCCTGAAAATATGGGAAAGTATGGGGAATCAGTTTATTTGTGTGTATTTGTTTGTGTGTCCTTGGGCTCTTGACAATCATCGCTCCCCCTTCTCTTGAGTCAGTCCGCTGGGGGGGTTGGGCACGTACTACCGGAACGGGGGAAGGGGGGGTTGGAGGGAGAGGAGGCGGACGAGGAGGGGGAGGAGGAGGCAGAGGGGCGGGATTGGGCAAGCTCAGTCGGAAGGTCAAACACTCTCCCCTCGATGCCCCATCCATAATTAGGGGATCGACTGCAGGATTGGTTTACGCCAGAAGTCATTTTCCGTCGAGTCTACGAACAATGCGTAGATTGTGATTCCAGAGGGCACTCTTCATATTGTTCGTAGATTCGACGAAACCAATTTTGGAGTGAGTCATTTCTGGAGTCGATCCCCTACTCGAAGACCTGAGACGGGTCTGGCCAGGAGGAGGAGCAGGAGGAAGGGCGGGTGAGGAGGAGGGGGCTAGAAGGAGGAGTCGAAGTAGGGGCATGAGCAGGGGTAACTA